TATGCTCGCCAGCTTCTTGAGTACCCTGGGGTGTAGATTGTCGGGGCCAGCTGACTTGAAGGCATCCAGCCTCTCAAGGTGTTCCTTCATGAAGTCAGCGAGGTCACAAGTGAGATCAGAATCAGAGCTCAAATACCTAGATGGCTTGAACAGAGTGTCAGTCTGATTTTTAAAGGACCACATTCACTTAAACAGCCAGCTTGGGTGGTCTCATTATTATCAGTTCCTACCAAAGCATATGGACCTCTGGAGTTGACCTAGCACCTTATAGCCCCAGGAGGTGCTTAATCTTTACTGGGGCTCAAATTAATTCAAGGACTTGTATGGAAGGCTGGCAGCGTACCTGTCCTGTAGATAATTACTGGACACTGCCCCCCGCCCCCATCACAGTGTTGACCAGTGAAGGGTGTGGACTCTACAGTACTTTCTTCCCAAAGAAATTTGGCTTCCTGCCTAATCTCTTTTCTGCCAAGACTTTGATGTACAAAAAGAAAAAAGAATTGATTCCAACAGGAAGCAGTAGGTTTGTCCTGCTAGATTCTGCTAGCCACCAAAAGAAAGGCCTGTTGGCTTTACCCTTATGAGGTCCTCTGGATGCTTCTCCACCCCTACACTCCCACCCCAGGCCTCTGTGCAACTGTCCATGTTCAAACTCTGGCTCTGGCTGTAATGTCAGCTGGGCTCCAGGTTACTAAGCTTTGCCTGCACAAAATCCCGAGGGAGAGGGAGGGTCATGTCAGGAATCCCTGGCAGTCCATCTTTTATGAAAATCAAAAAAATATGGGCAGCTTGGCTGCCTCATCTGTTTCCAGTTTGAGTTCTGTTGTTTACCATCTGGCGATCTCACTCTTCAGTTCTGGCATCAGTGGATCCCTCCTGGTTAGCCAGGAGTGCAAGACTAGTGCTGCAGCACTTGTTGCTCCTACCATCTTTGCAGCCACCTACCCTGGAAATCTGGGGAGAGTGTCTGCCACTATGCTGGTAAGGGGAAGGGTGCAACTGGGGGGTTATTTTCTCCTGCCTCACTTGCTCTGCCATACCCCACCATAGCCGTCTATGTGACAACTTTCAGTAACATTAAATTCATTTAGAGAGACACCAACTGAGAAAGAGAACAAGGATTCTCTCTTTTGCTTTGTAGCCAACAAATAAGTAAATGGCTCCTGGGATTAAATGCTTCAATTTCACTTCAGCTATTAATCAGACTCAAAAGTCACTTATTGCAGGTACAGTATGGTGCACTGGAGATTACATTATGCAGCCTTACACAGTAAACCTTGGCTAATTTGCACTATGCTAAACCACCATCCCATCACTCACTCTCAAATTAGGTGCATCTCTCTTACATAACTGCACAACAGTCTGTTTGCTCATGAAATACCCAGGCTAAAAACAAAATAGCACTTACCATACTACTTTGCATTTTCCATGTTTTATTAGAGGGGTGTCAAAGATACAGCCCATAGACTGGATTCCAGCCTGCAGAGCCTTGTCATCTGGCCTTTGGTGCTGTTCCCAGATCTTAGCATGGACCCACACAAAGCATGTGCCAGTGTGGACCCTAAGCGCGCTATATCAGGCCAGTCAAGCACATGCTGTATGTGATACACACATTGGTCCAGTCCCATATGCTGGGTCTGGTGTGTGGGGTTGGTTTGTTGGCCCAGTCAAGCTCACAGATGGGTCACATGCTACTCATCTGCTTGGTGGGGCAGGGTGAGTTTGACATGCCTGCTTTATTGTCTTTTCATTTCCTCAGTGACAAAAAGGAGCAAACTCCCGAAGGCCCAGTCTCAGTACTGGCCCACTCCTTTTGTCTATGGGTAAATCACCCACCTCATTCATCTGCCATGCCTTGTAAGTCAATCCAAATGTTAATTAGGCAGGAGGCTGCCCTTTGAGTGCTCTGATGTCCAAGGGTGATATATACATGCTCCAACCCCCCCTTAACATGTCCCATGTGTCACAGATAACACACTCAGTTTGGTAAATCTCCGGCTTGAGGCTGGGCCATACTCAGTACACAGTTAGGCCTCTATTACACTGCCTTGTTCTGGGCCACACTCACACCACCCCTCTCTCACTGGGGCCTCTTTCACTCTCCCTGTTCTCACCTCTTTCACACTGTCCATCCTGGGCCCCATTCACCCTGCCCTGTTCCCTTGAGCGACCCCAGAGGGCCATCAGGCTTGACTCTGTACTCCTTGGCCAGCCCTGGCACAGCCTTTTGCATCTCTCCCATGACCCTCATCTGAGCAGTGGCTGGGCGATTAGCCAAACTCTGGGCCAACTTCACCCCTAGCCCCTCACCAGGCCACTCCACTGTTCTCTTGGGCTAATTTCATCAACTCCCTTTCCTCATGACCTCTCCACTATGCTCTCTCACCAGGGCCTCTCCATTATGTCCTCTTA